TTTAAGCAATTTAGAATCTTACAGCTGCATTGAAGGATACTTATTTATACTTAGTATGTGCATTTGAGCCTAATAAGTAAAAGGCATTTTTAAAAAAAGTTTTAGATATTATTTTATGGAACACAAGCGAAGTAAGAGGAAGTGAGAATGCAGCCACAAATAACTTTTTATTTCAAATTGTTAGATTTTTTTTTTTACATTTTGTTGCTTACTCACGTCTACTACCACGCTCTATAATTGAACAGTGCCGTAAAGGAATTCCCATTGCAGTAATTTCTCAATGCACGGTGTCGCATTTCGTAACCTATGCAAATATTTTAACCTTTTCTTTGACAAAATGGTTTATTTTATTTATTTGTTTATTAATAACCTTTAACAAAATTTCTAAACAGCAATGTATTTTTTTTGGGTTATCGCAATTAGATTCAATTAAAAGCATATCAGTTTTTGTTATAAAACTACTAATTTTAATTCCAAAATATAAACGCGGAGTACTGATAAAAATTTATATCCCTCGCCCTTTGCGCGAAATTTTCCTATGTGCCAGAAACCAAATTTAACAGAAGAGCAGTATTTTCTTCTTTTAAATTTTTTTCAATTCGTTCAATATTTTTTTTTTTTAATTCAGGCCTTTTCTAATGAAAACTGTGTGCTTGATATCTATAGTATTTCTGAAGCAGCGAAAAAACTTGAATTTTTTCCATGCACAACATATTTTATAATTCATCTTTAAATTTTAATTGTCAGACACTTTTGCGTTGGTGACCTGTTGAATTTGCCTGAGAAGACCTATAGTAAAATTCTCCGATAAATAATTCTGTAAAACATTTAAACCCTCTTACGACCTTCCAAATTTATTTTTTGAAGGGTTTCTTATAGTAAGGGTCGAGCGGACCCGTTTAGGCGGGAGGTGATGGGTTAAAATGTTCTCTGAAAATATTTCTCATGCAATTTTAATATCTATCTTAACCTTAAGTTTCGCTCAGACATTTATTTTAACCATTCTATCATTTTGCCGAAAACTACACCCCGTGCCATATGGACAAGCGCACCATATATTGACAAGTTTTAGTAATTTATCATTTTATTAATAAAGTTTAGTTTTTTTTCATAAAAATATAGTTCATTCTTTAACAAAGACCGAATGAATTTAAATTTCAAACTATGTGGAAAATTAAAAAAAATCAACAAACTGTCGTAAAAATTTCGAGTAGTAAACTCGATATATATGTATTTTTTGGGAATATTTGCAAGCACTCAGCTTAGAAGACCAAGTCAAGCCCAAAGGAATAAATTAAGATTATTTCCGTTACTTCGGTATGCAGTTCACATCCACACCCAGTGTAGTTTTGGGGCCGTAGGGTTACGCCAGTACTTTGCCTTAGGGAAGTCAGCATTTTAATATCTCGTCAAATAAGGTAAAGTTAGCAAAGTATCCACAGGCATTACGCTAATACAAATACATTAACAGCTAGATATCTACCTCTAGCTATATTTGCCTGACTTCACACTGTATCTATTTAGGATATGTACATATATGTGCCTTAAGTTGGTCCAAAAATGCATGTGAAAAGATAAAGCCGGAAATTTCACACTAAAGCATTGTTCTATAACGGAAAATTAATATCCAGTAGTTTATTTTACCGTTATTTAATACTAGCGATTTTTTTTTTCATTTTTATATTAAAAAATTATTAAATAAACCTTTGAGTATTATTATTGAAATTCTCCAAAGTTTCCCGATTGAAAAATATTGATCTACAAAAATTCTATATCATTTCCTCGAAAAAACAGTTTTTTTTGCATATAAAATACATGAAAACTTTGACCGAATGACCTCTAAATGTTTTTTGATTTCAACAAAAAAACAAAAATAAAACAAGGGTATAATTTTTTTCGGCATAAAACAATCTTAGTGGGTGTGAGCATTAAAACTCCAACTTTCCTTTAATTTTTTGACCACCCTTATGTACATATTCTTTTTTTTAAATATCCTCTATGCTTTTTCTGCAATCCTTTAACCATTTTTTAGTTTCTTTCTTTGTTTGATTCTCAACTTTATGTTCTTGCACTACCACCTACTACTCTACTGTTTGCCATCAGCGCAGTTCTATCGATAGCAATCAAATGCCGATTGCCGCAACAATGGCGTCGAAAACTTTACCGCAAAATGATATTATTCATACCCCACAACCGTCTGTGCTTGTATTAGATACCCTTACGGAAAACCATAGCACACACACACAAGTAAAAGCACTAAAGCGTGCAAGCCATTTGAATGTCCATATATGTATAAGTAGTACACTCCAGAGCACTTTAATAGGGACAATGCTTTTTCGCTTTTTTTCCTGGACTGTTTTTCTTTTATTTCATTTCCATTATTTTTCAATTGAAATACATAGTACAGTCAATCTGGCTATATTTGTAGATGTACCTGGAAAATACTCCACACAGGATAAAAATAGTACCTTGCTGTTCAGAAAAATATTTTAATCAAAATAAGAAAATTTTTCACTCTCACCGCGTTATTTCAATACATATGCCCGCTAATTGTCAATAGTTTTTAATTAATTAAACATATTTACTGTCAAATTGAAGGATAGAAATTTTTTTTATTTTAATTCAAATATTTTTCTGAACACAAATTCCTGCATGGAGCTTTTTTCGCCTTAAGCATTTTTTGAGTATACTAAAAATTACCGTTTATTTTTGAAAATTTTGTACTGACGCTCTGCCGCAATTTTTCTAAATAAAAAAAAGGCGACCCTTCGGTAACTGAGAAAAAAAAATAGAAATTTCGAAGAAAATTGTATGAATTTTTTAAAGTTTAAAGTTAGAGAAAAAAAGTGAAAAAGCGTTGACCCTATTCAAGTGCATGTGAGTGTATGTATGTACATAGATATCGTTCAAAGGGTTTTATGCGCGCCAAACTACACAGGCAACACGGCGTATGCGGCGGCGGTGCCAGTGGCTGTGATTGCGCATTCCTATTGAACCGCACTGCAAATAGAAAATCGCATGCAAATTAGTAATAGCAAAGTTTTTTGAAGTTTCAATAGTACCAACTTTCAACTTTATTGTCAACATGAACTGCAGCAACCAAGTAGAACGTGAACGTGCGCTTGTACGGCAAATTGAAAGGAAGTGTTTTGCATACAAGTTTGTAGGTTAAAAACCAAATGGCAAACAATACAGAAAGTGTTATCCAGCGTATTAGAATATGCAAATATAGCAATGACTTGACGGCTTAGCTGCTCATTGAGCAATAATGGTTATACAAATGTACATAAGTGCAAGCACATTCATTTTATACATTTGCACAAATATATGTACACATACATATGTACATTAGGGTGGTCCAAATATGCATGCGAAAAAGTAAAGTCGCAATTTTAATGCCGCCATCCCCTAGGATGGTTCTATACCGAAAAAATATGTTCCTATTTTTTTTTTTTTTATCAAAAAATATTTAGGGGGGCTCAAAGCGCCCAAAATTTTCCATGTATTTTATATGGGGAAAGACAACTTTTCGTAGAAATAGTGTAGAAGTCTGAAAATCAAAATTTTTCGATCGGAAAACTCCCTTTCTCTTCAGGAGACTTTCAATAATAATACCCAAGTGTTACTTTTACCATTTTTTCATGGTAACTGTATTTTATACGTCCGACAAAAAAAAAACAGAAAATGCAATGAGGGGGACTAATAAAAAATCTTTAGTATTAAAAAATGGTTAAATAAACAATTGAAGAATTATATTGAAAGTCTCCTGAAGAGAACCAGAGTTTTCTGATCGCGAAATATTGGTTTTTAATAAATCTGTACCAATTATACGAAAAGTTGTTTTTCCCCCATATAAAATACATGGAAAATTTTGAGCACTCCGTAAATATTTTTGATTTCAAAATAAAGAAAGTTGTTTTATTTTTTCTTCGGGATGGCGGCATTAAAATTCCGGCTTTACTATTTCTGGACCACCCTACCTTACATACATATATACCCTCTCATAATTCTATTTCTGACTAAATATGTGTAATTGATATCAGGAGGTACTCAAGTCGATTTTAGTATGAAAGAATTCACGTTTTATGTTGTATGGTTAAATATTCTAAGAGGGTCGAGTCCTTTGCTTGCTATGAGAATTAGTGTATTTATTTGTGCTTAGGAGCGCTTGAAAGAATTTCAAATGCAACTATTGCGACAACTGACCTGGTTTCATTTATACGCGTTACTTTTTATAGGCGCATACAGGAAACAAAAGCTATTCATAATGCGTTGTTAACCAGTTAATGTCGTCCTTTAAAATACTTAAATATTGTTTAGAAAATTGTTGAATAACTTATGGCGTATACATTTTATAAAAGCATTGCGCGCCACACAGGCCTACAGCAATTCGTTTATCTTAAAAATTCTTAAATAAATTTAAGTAAAAGGTCTGAAACTTCACGAAAAAGCAATTGCTTAGTTTTTATTGGAATGGGGAACTGTGCATTAAGAAGAGTTCTGCAAGTAACTCGACATACCTGTTCACAACGAAAAGTCAATGAAAATAAGAAGAAACATAGGTTCGTGATACTTAATTTGTATATAAGAACAATTTAACTGGAATAAAATATACTATAATTCTAAATTCAATAAAAAAAGTATAATATAGGAAAACCAAGTAAAGAAATAAACAAATAAACAGTACAATTACAAATAAATAAATAATTCAAACTAACATTATAAATCAGTGGATTGTGAATAAAAATGGGTGATGCAGAGGCGGTAAGTATTATAACCAAAGTCTCCACCTAAAATTTTTTTTTAAACATATGTATGTATGTATGTATGTACTCTTAAGCGCTGGTTATACTTGTATTGTGCTGCAGCGCATAACATGAGTACTGCCACATATCGAATCTGTTTAATGCGCTTTGCATACAAGCGATTATCCTACGCAGCGCACGACAGGGCATGGCAGCTAAGTCTGGAGAATTTTGATTTTTCGCCATGTGACTTTTTCAAAGAGAGATGCCACTCTCATTAGTCTGTTCGAGTACAATCAGATTTACAGGAATTAGTTTCTATATAAACGTAAATTTATATTCGAACAAATTTCTACCTGATTTAATTAAATCGGATAAATATTGCTGAAGTTGAGTAATTTAAGTAGAAATATGGTCGTGAATTTATATGGATGTATACCAGGGTAGTCCGAAATACATGCGGTGAAAAAAGTTTGAAATGTCAAGCTCTCGCCCCCTAGGACTTTTCAAAATGAAAAAACATACCCGTTTTTTGTAAAAAAAATATGTATATATATACTTAGGACTGCCTCAAAGCCCATGAAGTTTTGCATGTATTTTATGTGGGCAAAACATATTTTTCGTAGAAATGGTATAGAATTCTTGTAAATGAATATGTTTCGATCGGAAAACTCTCTTTCTCTTTAGGAGACTCCCAATAACAACACCCAATTGTTTATCTAACCTTTTTTTTATATTAACTAATTTTATAGGACCCCCAAAAACTGCAATAATCCAGAGGGAATCCATAAAAAATCGTTAGTATTAAAAATGCTAAAATAAACAATCGGAGATAAATATTAATTTTTAAGTATTCTATGCCACATCTACGAAAAACTTCATGGGCTTTTAAGGTAGTTCTAAATATCTGTTTTTTTTTTTAACAAGAAAATACGGGTAATCGTTTTTCCATTTAGAAAAATTCTAGGGTGTGTAAGCCCTTATAAGACGTAACGTATACATATATTTTATTTTTGCGCAGAGTTGCTAAGGAATTAATTAATATTTACTCAAAATTTATATCGCTACCTAAAGGTGAAAAGGTGGCAAGTCCATTCTTTTCAAAATGTAGTTATTAATGGAGTTAGTTTTTAATGAAGAGTGGCAGGGAATACGAAAAAACGCCGATTTTTCGTCTCTCCTAAACAATTCCAAAAAATGGACTTGGCACCTTTTCACCCTTAGGTTATGATATATATAATGCCTATTTAGCAAAAAAAAAAATTATTCCGCCAACTTTTGAAAAATGGGCGTGTTATTGCACACTTACGTCAAATACGTCTATCTGGAAAACCACTTTATCAATCTGTACCAAACCTGGTACACACGCAGCCCTGGGCCTCCTTAATTTTTGAATTTATCGATGGTAAAAGTTGAAAAATAGGGTTTTTTTTAATTTACCCCAATGCTAACTTCCAACAATCTAAGTAATTTCAAAATCCTTTAAGTCCTCCTTTAAAAAACATGTTTAATTTTGAAAATCGAGTGAAAAATAGTCAATATGTTAAAAGATAGCAAGTGCATCAAGTACGAAAATAACCGTTTTTTAAATTAAAACAAAATAGGGTTAAGGAACTATAAGAAGCCAATTTTCATGTTGTACTCGACCCTACCGGCTCTACCTGCAAACCACATCAAGTTTTTTTCGGGTGTATTTCGTGATTTTTTTCTTGTTGCACAGTCATTTTTACTTACAATTATTTTTTTTAACAATAAATTTCTTTGTACATGTAAATAAGTGCAAATCGCTTCTTGGCGGTAAGGCTTTTTCTCATAAATTCTGAAAATTTCTGCATTCATAAATACCTACATACTTACGGATGTATGTATGTATATCGATATACCCATAAATCATGAGAAACTAAATATTAAACGACTTATTCTGCTCAAAGAGTAGTCAACTCTTTTTGCCCCCTTAATGTCTTCACTATCTTATTCAAATTAGCTAGTAGTGTATTGCAAAGCGCTATAAACCTGTTCACAATATTTACTATTATGGCGACCTTGCTGAAGCCGAGGCTGTTTTGTGGTGGCATAGGATTTAAATGTAAACATTTGCGTTTGCCATAAAACACCAAAATTTGTGGTATTGCAAATATATTCTAATTCGTGGCATGAGCAATATAAATATTCTGTATGCAACAAATAAGTACAAGATTCGCAGATATCTATATATACATGAATGTATACATATGTATATATATGTAAACTTGTTAAATGATATAAAGTTGGAATTTGTTGAATCAATAAGTGATTTGTAGCCCTTCGTTCAGCTCTGATTACAGCCGAAATTCATTATTCAGGTCAAATCTCCTACTCTTTTCCGCAATGTCTCAGAAGAACAGCACGAAATACGATACCATTAAAATGTAAACAAATTCAGCATACATACATATTTACAAACAAACTTAGTTATACCACGCTATGCTAACTAGCTTCAATCAGGTGGCTTTCATAAGATTTTTTCGCTTAGACAAATTTTTGTTGTGGTTGGTTGCGATCTTAATCGCACTTTACTACATAAATATTTGCATATTTCAGCACTTTCAAATACATATACTAATAGGCATACATTAGACTACCTCACGCAAAATATAAAAAATTCAGTTCTCCTTCCACAAGCGAATAATAAAATGTAGTTTATTTTATGACTTCCANAAATAGTGCTTTTCATTGATTAAAAAAAAAAACTGTTGTCGCCCAGCCTTTCTGTAGGAAAATATTCTATGGAGGTAGACAAAGTAAAAGATCTGCATTTTTTTTCAAAAACTGCCGAAATGTTAAATATATTTTTAATTTTGATACAAATTACCAGAAACTCGTTAATGAAATAATGTGATCCCACTGTTCATTCATAAACCAAAAAATTTAGAAGTATTTATTTTTCACAAAAAGAAGGAATATGTACGTATGAATAGCTTGACTTTTTTAAGGTATTTATAAGGATTTGAAGCAAATGTCTATTACGAGATACATCGGGCATGAGCGAAGTTAGTTTTTGGAAAAGTCTGATTATTGTTATTAAATCTATCGGTACAGTTTATAGAAGCCAGAGAGCGAGCGAGTTTGCAATTCAAAACAAAAAGCAAAGCACTTTTCCGTATAAATAAATCGTGGTACAAAGCTTAATAAAAATATTAAAATTAAATATTTACAAGCCACAAAAACATTGACAAATAAAAAGCAAAGATTTTTAGTTAACTTTTAGCTTTTATAATTTTTAGTTAGAAGTTCCGATCAAAATTTGCTTTTTCGATCGAAACTTAATGGCGTTGTCAATGTTATTGTGGCATATTAATATTTTATTTTTAATGTTGTTATTGAGCTTTGTGCCAAGATTTTGTTTATTAGGAAAAATGGAAAAAGCAACAAGGACATTCTAGGCAGTAGAAGTTATAGCAGAGAGATATTTCGGAGATCATCACATCTCCTCATCAGAGTTCTTTTTCTAGACTTCAGCAGGGATCGAACCCGCATCATCGATGTGCAAAGTCAGATGCGTTAACCACTGAGCTATGCACACCCCGGAAACTTAATGTCGTTCTCTAAGTTTTGTTCCCAAGAACGCTACAAAACCCTAACCCAAATGAGAACAAAACCCTCCAGGGTATTTTTACAAAATCGAACGTGTGAAAAAAATTGTCGAGAACGTTCTTAACGGGAATTATATAACAAAAAAACCCTGTGGAACGTCCTCAAAGAAAACCAAATCCAAGCAATACTTTTGTGAACATTTCTAAGAGAACAAAGTGGAGACAAAAGTCTCCGCAACGTTCTGACAAAGAACAAAACGGGAACAAACGGGCCAAGGAACTTTCTGTCGAAGAACAATTTGGGGAATCAAGTCTCAAGAAGTTTCTGACATAGAAAGAAACGTGAAAAATATTTCTCATAGCGCTACGTTAGTTTGAAATATTTGAATAGTACCAATATAAAAAAATATAAAACTTTAAGAGAATTATGCAAATTAAGTCAACGAAAGGCCAAAGACACGAATTTTGCTTGCACATAAAATGAAAAATGGTTCCATACATGGACTGTTCAACCTAACGATTCATGAGCTGGAAGTTCAAATGATTAATATGGCTTAGAAATAACAGTCACAGTTCTTCCTGAAGCGATTTTTCATCCCACCATGCAGACGCCTTTCTCATTCTTAACGTTAAGTACTCAAACCTTCTGTTCTCGTTTTGTTCTCTAGTAGACTTTTGCTCTTATTTGCTGCTACTTGAAAATGTGGTCGATACTTTCGTTCTCATTATGTTCTTATAGAGAATGTTCTTTAGAGTTTTGTTCTCATTTTGTTCTCTTTAAGAACGTTCCCGAGAGTTGCGTTCGCAATTTTGTATTTTACGGGCACGTTCGCGGACCTTTTGTTCTTATTCTGTTCCCGCTCAAACTGCTCTCAATACTTTTGTTCCTATTTAGTTGGAGTGCGTTATCGCTCCCTGGTTAAGTTCTTCAAAATGTTTACGAAAATGTTGTACTCTGTTCACGAGGTGGAAAAGCACAAAACATGGTGGCAACATGTTGAAATTAAATATTTAAGAGAGACTGTTCAAGTTTTATAATTCGTTTGTACAAGCAGCAACTTGTTTTTGCGCGGCATCCTGATGTTCATACATGCTTACGTGCGCACATACATACATACATACATACATATTATTTTTGCCGCGCGAACTGAAATATATTCAAATTGTGAAAATGCAGATGCGACCGCCACCTGTCAGTGGACCTCGCCCACCATTTCCTGGCGGTGGCATGCCCCCACGACCGATGGCTGGGCCACCTCGCGCTCCCATGAACATGGGCGGTGCACCTGGTGGTGGTCCTCCACCAAGATCAATGCCACCTCCATTGCGTAACACAGATAGCAGGGGAAATCTGCTGATGGGCATTGGTGCCCCCGGCAGCGGGCAACGTCCACCACCGCCACCGCTGCAAAACCTGCAAATGCGTCCACCTAGCGCAAATGGCGGTCCAATGAGTCCACCTGGGCAAGGTCAACAACGCCCGCCCGCTGCATATCCCTGGTCCGGTGCACCACCTGGTCAACAAATGCCAGCGAATCGTCTACAAAATCCCTATCCTGGCAATCCGCCGACGCGTCCGCCATTTGCACGTCCGCCTGGCGTTCCGCAAGTGGGTGCACAACAACAACCACTACAACGACCGCCCTATCAGCAACTGCAACCGCAACCGCAACAGCAACAACAGCAGCAACAGCTACCACAACAGCAACCACAGCAACAACCATACCAACAATCTCCCGTACAGTTACCACCACGCCCACCATCGGCCAGTTCGAACAACAATGAAGATGATGATGATGTGGTGGTGGGTCAGGCGATAACACCGCGCAAGACGTTGAGTGCAAATGAGGATCCGATGGGACCAGCGGTGGCGGAAGTTAAAACGAACTCAATCAAAGATGCATTTGGTATGGGCGAGACGCTGACACCAATAGCCGAGGTGAAAGCGAACGGCATGAAAACATTGTCGAGCATACAGGAAATGTTAAGCAGCGGCGTGGAGAATGGACGGAAGCAGAAAAGTGGTGATCACAGTAAGAATACAACAATACAAACAAATTTAAAGAGTATTTTATTTATCTACATGCTATATAAATATTTACTTATACTTATGTACATATATACATATCAATATGTATTATGCTCTTGGAGAGTTATCAGTTTATGGATGGGGCATTGCAAGTATTGACACCAAACTGCTTGAGGCTTTCCATTTGATTTCTCACATTAATTTAAACACAAATTGTAACCTTTCGTTTAATTTCAGAAGGTGACAACGACAGTGGCGTTGATGAATCTACTCAGGAGAAGGTGAGTTAATTTATAAGTCTACGTACATACATACATGTGTATATGTACAAACATATAAGCGCCGGTTGTAATTTATTTTGCTTATTTGTGTCAGCTGGAGAATACGAAATCGTTAGTTAAAAAATTATAAATTAGTTAGGGCTAAACCCAATAAACATTTTTGTGGTATTTTGAAGGAAAGGTGAATTGGTTGAACGGAAATTTGAATTGCCATATATAGTAAGGCGAAAATATAAGCGTTGGTGATATTAAGAACCAGTCTGGAATATATGTATGTAAGTGTATTGGTTCAGCGAGTTTTCTCTCTTGAATTTAATTCATACCGAAAATTTCGATTTGCGTAGTAAATAGAAGTATAAGTGACCATCAGGTCAAGGTGCAGATTGGGAGTCCTAGCTTTTAAGGTTTTATCACCTTTTATTTCTTTGCTAGAGCTTCTCAAATATTGCAAAAAAAAAGTGATTTTCTGATACTTTATCCACGGTCCATGGAGTCTCTCAAAAACATGTTTAACATTTGCCGCATCGGAATCAATATCCTGTGTTACTTATGGAACATAATTTCGTTAACCCAGTTTTCCAAGTTATTGGTGACGATGTCTGGCTCTAACGAGTGGCTTGCACAATATTCGCCTTAAGGACCTGAATCGTAAATGGATTGTTCGCATTAAATTGGCAAATGATCGACTTTAGCCTAGCTCTTGGAATTAATACACAAAATTTTCCTACTTTTAAACTGCTGTAAAATAAAAAGAGAGTTAGATGCTGCAAATGTAAAGTAGCAGTTTTTCAAACACTGTTTAGTGCTACAGTAGAGTTTAATTTTACTTTTCCAAAGCTTAATTTTATTTGCCCAGAATTTTATTTCATTTGCCAAAAGTTCAACTTATCGCCACTTGCACGAAAGCAATTTAAGTGAAAAATTATTATTTTTTATTGGATTTAATATGGAAACTGATGGGAAAAAACATTTTTCACCTAAATTGCTTTCCTGAAACTGGCTATTAATGTGTCAATCTATAGTCATGTGAAAAATAATACGAACAGAACATTTTGACCAGTTGTGTCTATTCTTCTTTGGTAGTTTAGTGCCTATATTTTTTTTTTATAAAAATACAGTTCATTTTCTAATAAACACCATGTAAGTCCAAATTTCAAATTATAGAGAGAAATTAGAAAATTTCAACAAAATTTTACAACAAGAATAAACTTTTTGTTAAGAACTTTTAGGGAAAAATCTAAGTAAGCATTAATTTTTAGCTTCATAAAGTGCATATTTTAAGTGGATAAGAAATCGTGTTGATTTTTGATAATTTTTTCCCCTGGCGTTGTCACGCATTTGCTTGAATATTCATATACTCCCATGGTAAAAATGAATACATATTTTGTTCTAGTGAGACACTGGTAATCGATACAGCTATGAAATTCTTACAGAACATAGAAGAAGAGGTAGCGATAATTTGGATTATGACACTATTGAAGTAAATGAGCGATATGTTCGATTTTTTTTTGTATGGAAGAAAAGAATGAAATTATCCGCAAAAAAAAATTATAAAAAATTAACGCGTATTCTTAGTCACTTGAAACTTTCATTTTCTTCTGTTGTTGTTGTTGTAAGATTTTTTGAATTTTTCTACACAGTTTGAAATTTGTACTTATATAGTTTTTGACAGATAGTGAGCTGTATTTTTATTACAAAAAAAATAATAATAATAAACATTTAACAAACAAAGGGAAAAAGCCGAAACTGGAAAACATGTCGTGTTCCTATTATTTTTCAGATGACTGCATATATGTACATACATATAAAAATTATAAGAGAATAAGTCCTTCTGGCAAGTTACCATCTCATACACATGTAAAAATATTGTCCTGTGAAACATGCAATACCAGAATATCGACTTCATAGCTTGAATAAATTATAACGTTACCAAGTTATCTAGAAAATTGCCTTTACAAGAAATTGTGTCATTTTTAGGTATTTAAATTTCTCGGTGTCAAAATGTTCGGTAACAAGCAGAATAGGCCTGTAAATGACAGCGATGTCCTAGAAAGTGGAAATTATTCCCCGCTGTATTATCTTTTCAATAGTTCGTAACAAGTCCTATATTCGACAGACAATTAAATCAAAGTTTCAAACTTTATAAAAAATTTATGAAAAATACAACAAATTTTTATCAGAATCTGAATCCTCACAACGTTTTTGGGTATGCAGCCCATACAAATTTAGGCTCATGAAATATAAGTTTCAAGCGCCTAAAAAATTACGTTGATTTAAAAAAAATTCCATATAAGCACGAGTTTCCTATGCAGGACACTGTTGGCAACAAAATTTCAAAAAATCAACGCCAGGTTTTCATAAATTCCACCTGTTATAAAAAAAAAATCGCAAAAGCAGTCACTAAAGAAATTTCGAAAATCAACGTAATTTTTTTAACCGGTTGAAACTTGCAAATAACCAAAAAAAATTGTCTTGAAAAACATTTATAATAATTAACACTTGTTTGAGTCACTGTACCGCCAATTGCAAGCGGCTTTTCGAAGCATTAATTACATTACATTAGTTAAAAAGGCTAAAATCGCACAGGTTGATGTGCCCGGAAGAATCCATGTTGTCATTTGGATGATTACATGACCGAACAATGTAACCTGAATTATATATGTGTATGGTCAACCAACTTAGACAAAGTTCTGAAGTTGCAGACGACATTATGGTCACCAAATTTGAAAACTGGGACGGTAGTACATAACTTCGATTGATAAATATGACATTTTATTTTTTTGTGGAGTATAACGATCCGATGCCGCCATTTGCAAAAATTATAATTTGAGGGACCACGAGAATTTGGTTCAGCGAAAATGATAACCATGAAGGCGTCTTTCGAAAATATACCGTGGTTATTCGGTTGCAAAAATACAAATGGTGCAGCCACCTTAACTATTCACGGGGCAATCGCGCGCACACAGGAAACAAAACGATTTTCAATTAATTTCTTTGCCTTTTGTAATAAAGCCATAAAAGGCAAGCGGAATAAAATCTAAATGTGAAAAAAGAAAATAAATTCAAAAGAAAAGCGGGTAATACGCATAGCTACTTCTGTTTGAATGTATGGACGACATAATAAAGACAACGACCTACGCATATGTGCATACATATCGTCGTTTACAGTACAAAACCGCGTATCAACAAAATGCAAAACCGCGCATGCGAGGTTGCATAAAATATTTTCTAGAGCATTAAAAACTCTCACATTTCAAAATGGTTCCATTTTTTATAAAGCAATCGCTAGTATATTTCACGACGAATGGATAAGGATTGAGCCAAGAGCTTATGTGAGCAAATCCAATTTTTGGCAGCAAATGTCAATTACGCGGTTTTGCAGAATGTAGGATACGCGGTTTTGTACTTTAAACGACGTTATGTACCTTTATACATATATGTGCATAGTTGTGTGTCTTTTTGGAAACTGAACTTTTCGAACGACATTTTGCTCATAATTGCTATGAACACGAACGATTCTTGAAAGATGTAGCTCCACTTTGATATGGCGCCACGCTTCAGTGGCGAACCCGCCCACATACGACACATACATATGTAGCTACTACAGTTTGGCTAGCTTCGCTATACAAATGTATGTAGGTAACGCATCCGTGACTCAATGACCTGCCCTCATTGACATACATATGCAGCTGAGTCGCTGCTTAGACTGGAATTTAGTAGCTGAAAATTTTCGCCTAGTCAATTTCCACAACTCAGTCCCAAACGAGCGATCTCAGTGATACAAGCAAAACAGCCATACTACAACATTTCATTACTGCTGTGCAGTAGATTTTAAAAATATTTGCCAACATATTTTACCATTAATAGTCAAAGCTTATCAATATATCGATACGGGTATAAGTTATCGCTTGAACAGGTGTGTAAAAAACCAACAGCTGTTTTTTGTGATATGAGGCAGTATGTGTGTGCAGATGTTTATCCGTGTTTGCAGGGCAGAAACTTTTTTACCTTGCCACTGACACGACAAGGATATGTGTATGAGGTTCACATACTAAAATAAAATTGGAGTCAAGAAACTTTACGTTGAAATATCTGAAAGTATGTAACGGGTGATTTTTTTGAGGTTAGGATTTTCATGCATTAGTATTTGACAGATCACGTGGGATTTCAGACATGGTGTCAAAGAGAAAGATGCTCAGTATGCTTTGACATTTCATCATGAATAGACTTACTAACGAGCAACGCTTGCAAATCATTGAATTTTATTACCAAAATCAGTGTTCGGTTCG